ATAGTGCCCTTGTTAAAAATAAAACTACATCTTGCTCATTTCTATAGACTCAATATGTATTTCTATAGATTGCTATGTAATATCTATATAGACTTAAGACTTACGTATTTCTATAGACTTAAATACTTAATGTGACAGTGTACTTATTTCTATAGACTTTTAAAGATGTACTTATTTCTAGAGAGTTAAGCTGTACTTATTTCTACAGACTTAAAACTTACATTTTTCAGTAGACTTAGAGACTTAATGTGTACTTATTTCTCTTCACTTACATATTTCTATAGACTTAAGATGTACTTCTTCTATAGACTTAAAAGGTACTTATTTCTATAGACTTAATAAGAACTTATTTCTATACACTTAAGATGTACTTATTTCTATAGACTTATGATGTACTTATTTCTATAGACTTAGTTCTATAACCTTCGGAAGTTCTATGCCGGACTTAATTAACGCTTTACTTGCATGTCGGTATATACTTTAAGACAGAACATAAAGCAAAAGAATTTATGTCTGTTTGAATACTTCAGTAAATATGGAGACGAATTTCTACAGATGTAAACTATAGACCTACTGGCACTTATGTGATGTTTGCCTCTTACGCGTATGGCAAAAACACCATTGCGCGACAATTCGTATTAATCATTACGCTTAAAAATTCCTCCAGTCAAGAAAAATATGATGGATTTTTAATCGAATGCAAATGCATAATTAAAAACGAACCATGGCTGCAAAATTGTGATAAAGTATATTCAAAGCTAATGTAAAACATCCAGCATGTTTAAAAATAATAAAAAAAAAAGGAAAACATTCTTTAAAGAGAAATTAATGGATACAATATTTACAAATTGGAAGTTAAACGCGATAAAGACAATAGATTTGAAGAAAAATACATTGTTAAAATAAGTGAAAAATTAAATCAAGTAACCGAGCACAAATATATCCGATTCTGAACTGTTTATTTTTTTTTCAAATTTATAAGTTGTTACTTGTTTGAAAAAGAAAAGCAAGTACTACTAAGGTGGTTTTAAGAACCTTGACGGCTGTTATATAAGCTCTCGCACGGTCGGTGACGTAAGTACTACTAGGGTGGTTTTAAGAACCTTGACGGCTGTTATATAAGCTCTCGCACGGTCGGTGACGTAAGTACTACTAGGGTGGTTTTAAGAACCTTGACGGCTGTTATATAAGCTCTCGCACGGTCGGTGACGTAAGTACTACTAGGGTGGTTTTAAGAACCTTGACGGCTGTTATATAAGCTCTCGCACGGTCGGTGACGTAAGTATGAAATTAAAACGGTCTGGTTATTTCCTTGACTGATTGGACGAATGTACAATTGTGTTTTATATAGATCTGAAATTACTGTGACAGATAAAAATATTTTATCACATTGGACAAACCTGTTTCTTAAATTATCTAGTGATTCATATAAAAAAAAAGGATAATGCATGTAACGATAAAAGACGAAGTAAGAATATCAGTTATATGACGTATTTTAGTGTCTATATAAGGCAAACTTATTACTCATAAGCTTGATTAATTTTTCAAATAGATTAATTCAATATAGAAAACAAGATTCATCCATAATAAGATATGCATGACATTTGGAAATATATTGACCCCTTATTATAAGCAGTAAGAATTTTGCAATTTGATTGATGTGAAAGATAACTCCTCATCTTTCCAGAAATGTGCTTAGCAGGAAAACAAAAATATGCATCAAAGGGATTTTTTTTTAAATATCAAGTGCCTGAGATTTCGAATTGTGGCCGATATTTAAAGCTATGTATGTCCAGAAAACCCCACAATTTATTTATCGTATTGGTCAGAGAACTTGTTTAGCATAGTTGTTTACTTTTGAAGTCTCCTGTGATAACATTTAACTACAGCGGTGATCTAATGGGAGTGTTCTCGCCTCGATCGCGGGAAGTTGTTGGTTCGATTCCCGTTCGTATCTTCTCCGTTAAGCACCCAGCATTTAGGTGGAACAAATACTAGCCGATCTAGTACAAAGTAGGATTCATAACCATGTCAGATCAATATGTTCTCGTTCTGATATTCATGAAATATTTGCCATCGGACGTTAATCAAACACAAAATCATTCATTATGACGTCGTTCGTGATAATTCCAGGTTAATGTCGTTGTGATACCATTTCGACGAAAAATGATATGTGTTATTCAGAAGCAGTTATATAACTGAAAAAACCGAGTATATTTTTACAAAAAGAGGGTAACAACCTTAATATCGAACCTATTATCACTCTCTAAACAAAATTGGCATGGGATACTCATTGAAAGGAACACAACATTAATTAATTGTTAAAATGGCTTTCAGAGTATACGAGACAAGGTGAAAATAAAAGAAAACAGCTATGTTTTCTCGTTTGAATTGTTTTACATTTGCATTGTCTGGGCCTTTTATAGCTTGCTGTGCGGTGTGGGTTTTGCTAATTGTTGAAGGCCGTATTGTGACCTATAGTTGCTAACTTTTACGTCATTTGGTCTTTGGTGGAGAGTTGTCTCGTTGGCGATCATGACGCATCTTCTTATTTGTATATGGCATGCATTTTAGGTTGACGTTCATCAATTATCCTCAGACTGACAAATATAATCAGGACCATACATACATGTATAGAATTATTAAGTGCGCCTGTAATTATTGCTTGAAACTGTTTAAACCGTTGTCCCCTTATTGCATGAAAATTTGACGCCTCTCGGCAAGTTCATGGAATTTACGTTACTGTGCACTATTGGAGTGACAACATGCAATACAATAGAACATAAAGTCTTACCCAATTGGAAACAAAAGATGTGCAAATAATTATAATAGATATAAGAAGATGTGGTATGTGTGCCAATGAGACAACTCTCCATCCAAGTCAAAATTTATAAAAGTAAACCATTATAGGTCAAAGTACGGTCTTCAACACCTTGGCTCACACCGAACAGCAAGCTATAAAGGGCCCCAAACATCACTAGTGTAAAACCATTCAAACGGGGAAACCAACGGTCTAATCTATATAAAAAACGAGAAACACTTATAAACCACATAACCAAACGACAACTACTGAACATCAGATTCCTGACTTAGGACAGGTGCAAACATTTGCAGCGGGTTTAAACGTTTTAATGGTACCAAACCTTCACCCTTATCTGAAACAATAGTGTAACATCACAACATAGAAAGACACGTACACTATAAAATATCAATTGAAATGGCTTAACTCAATCAAAGACATATTAACACCAGTGAACATACACTGAACAAATAAATTTGATCTATGATACAATGTAAATACAAAATAAATAAACAAAGGGAAGAATAATAAAAAGTAACATGTTATAATCGCTGTGAAATGTTAAACAATATAAGAAAAACAATATATTTGACAAAAATATCAGCCATTTGCATTTACTTTAAACACAGGTAAATGAAAATAATTTTGTTGTTAGGTATACGTGTACAGTTCAAATAGAGAAAGGAAATATTTTTACAAAATAAATAATTTTGATGTTCATAGTACGAAGGGAAAATTTATAGTATTACCAAACACTTATCAAAGCTGGTATATAGACCAGATATAACCCTGAATAACATTAAATAACAAAAAAGCATTACAATTAGTATCAACAGGTCAAATAATCAAGAAAGTACGATTTGAGAGTACTCGCAGTTACTGACAGCTAGTTAAAAGCCAAAAACAATTAATAATAAAAAATCATGCATCAGAGACTAATAAAAATATATGTTATACAACGTATAAAAAGCTTTTAACTAATACTCTGTTATTGTCTAATATAATTATAACGGTTTTATGGAGCTCGAGTAAAATGTTTTTTTTTTTCTAAACTGATTTTATTGTATGTTCCTTTTGTTATTCCACTAGTTGAGATTAAAAGGAGAGGAAAGAGTGCTCAACAATTAGTTTAACTCCGTCACATGATGATTTACCTGTCCCAAGACGTGAATCTTGCAAATAATGGTCTATAGTCAAATCTTTAAAAAAAAAAGGGGTTTTTTTTTTGGTTTTTTTTGTGGTGTCGGTAGGTAGATTTTTGATATTTATGCACAAGGGTCGATTTGGATCTCGACACATTGTATAAACTATATTTGATCATTTTGTATGTCGTTGGGTTGCTGTCTAATTGATGTATATTCCACATCTTATTTTACTTTCAGAGTTTAATTTATCAATTATATAAACAAATCAGTTCTATCTTAATGTCTTTTTTTGTAATTTTTATTGTCTGTTAGAAAATAATCTCTTAATCAATGCTGCCATACACAGTAATACACCAACCAGATTTTCCAAATATACAATCTAAAACTATATCTTTACTTTCCTCTCACAGCTGTACTTATACCCATACTTACAACACCAACTTACATCTTAAGATTTTAAAATCATTCCAAAAACTGCTTCTCAGGGTTTCTCTTTATTAGAGTATGAGATAAACAGATAAAAGAATGTCCTGGTCCGTAAATAGGAGAGAGAAAGGGGATTTAACCAACGAGGAGCTTGTTGTCATTAAAACTAGAGTCGCTTAAGTCTGGAAATAATTTTTACTTTGGCAAGAGTGTTGCAGTTATTATCCGTTTGTTTCATCACCCGATACGTCATATTTTGTTCTTTTTGCCACGATATTTTTACTTTTCACTTTATACTTTTATTATTTCCTATCAAAAGAAAGTTTAACTTATATTTGCATACTTTCAGATTGATTAACAACAGATGGACGTCGTTGTATCAATTTAACGTGACCTCAAACTAGAAATATATAATATAAAAAATACAGTTTATACAAGATTCGCGATCTATAAGTTTGAATCCTCTTATCATACCATCATTTTATATTTATTTTTTTCAGATTTTTAGCTACTTGGAATTTTTATTTCCTTGAATAAGTTGGGAAGTTTCCAAGTAAAAATAACTCTTACCACATGTATTGTTACGTACGGTATATAATGTATTTTTAAAAGCCATGCCAATACACAGATTAAGAGATGTCCATATATTTGTTTTGTACGTTTATCATGTATATTTTCTGTGTAAAAGGTAAGAAAATTATTATAAATCTATTTTCATATCAGGATGGATGCACTTATCAACTCACTTGAATAGTAAGTGTTTATAATCTACTCCGGTCTTGTTTGGAATATTTATTTATTTTCCACTCTGAAAGACCAAATGGATTGAGATTGAATATATATACTGATCTAAAGATCATCATATGACCTGAAGGATGTTTGTTTTGTCTGGTGTATGTTTACAAAGTTTTGGCTGCTGTATCCCAGTTTTTGTCACTTTAACCTATTATGTCTATTTGGGTTGCTCACCATATTTTGTCAATATAAGGGAACTATAAACAACTGTCACACAGTGGGAGGTTTAGCAAGCTATTAAACCAGGCCTTAACACACCATTTTCTTCGGAAAATGCCTGTACCAAGTCAGGAATATGGCAGTATTTTTCTCTCGTTCCGTTAGTTGATAACGTTTGATTTTATTAGTTTTTATGGACTTTACCTTTTTTTAATTTACCTTGAAGTTCGGTATTTTTGTTATGCAGTTTTGCGCTCTAGATGTCATTTTTCTTATTTTTGTCGTTGTCCATCTTTCAAGAAATGAAATGAACTTTGGTTAACTCAAAAAATAAAATTTGAACTTCATCAGAAGAAAACAATGATGTGGGCATGCCACTGTTATTGGAGGGTTATCATGCCAAAAAGTGACGATGTTAATTCATATATTGCAATCAGATATAGTGTAGTGAAAGAAAAAAAGTTATGGCAATGTATTTATATTTTTAATAGGTTTGGTTAAATAACAATTGGTCATGCTTGACTTTATTTTGTCACTAGAAATGTTATGATAAAAAGGAGAGATGATACCAAGGGATAATCAAACACCAAAGTCGAACGAAGAAAAACAAACAACACAATGGTCAACAGAAAATGAATGAAATAACAAAAAAAGATAACTAAACATTACACAGAAAATTAAAGATTTAACAAGTCGAATCCCAACCAAACACTTGCGATGAACTAGTGTACTCCAAAAGGGTTATATATAGATTATATAGAAATATAGATTTCACCACTGCAACAAGTGTGTTACGATATTTCTCCACTCGAGACAGTTAAATTTTAATATTTTAAGCGCGAGGCTTGCCAAGCTTTTTAAATAATTAAAAATTAACTTTTGAGAGTGGAGAAATATCGTAATACACGAGTTATAGTGGTGGAATCTGTTTCTCTAATGATTTTTATTCTTCCTTTTCAAAGATTTGCAGGAAGTTGTGTTCTTTATATGTGACGTCATCAGGTATGGTCGCCTTTTTTCATGACGCCACAATAGGAAATTCAGAAGAAACCAAGAAAATTTGACGTCATAATTAAATTTCGACCAATAATTTGCAGAGAACAGATATTTCACTAGTGAGGAGAAATATTTTTCTCACACCGATCAAGAAATGTGAAAATAGCGCAAAAATTAGAGAAAAGAGGATTGGATTGTAGCTACCATAAGTAGAAAATATTTGTTGTCATCTGTGCCATAGATATTTCATAACAGTCGAATAAATCATGGTGGCGTCCGTAAAATGACTTCAACTTTACCAAAAGGGGTCGTTGGTCAGCAACACTGTTTTTCCTATGTGCAAAATCCCATGAAATGACTTTTCCGGTCAAGTTATTGACTACCATTTACTGTCTTTAGCTTCTACGGATTTTTAGGGGTTGGTAGTTTACCTTTTGAACTTGGTGATTGTACCAGTTTTGCCTTTTCGATGCTCATAAAATTGACGTTATTATATGTATTAGAACAGTAACTAGTCAAGGTAGTGAAGCTGGATTACTTGACATCAGAAAGCTTTATTTTGAAGGGTGCTCATGCTTGCTGCTTAGGTTATGTCATCCTGATTAAGAAGTGATTTAAACCAAATTAAAAATGGAAACTGATTTAGCAATTTAACAGTGGTTGAAAATTTTACATGACTCATTAACAAAGATTCCCTTTTTTTTTTATTTCTATTATTAAACACCAATTTAAACATATAACTAAACATTATATGTGTACGCAAAAGATGTTACATCGACCAATATAAATAGTTTCCAGTTTTCCTCTTTGGAAATTTTCAAGTAGGCATGACAACAAATGGTGTATGAAATAAATAGAATTCTCCTGGTCTGAAAAGTTATTATTGATAGATGGAAAGCATAAAAATTATAGATTATACTTTTGAACTTTAGCAACTCATTTGAACATGAAACTTGCTTGGATTAACATCATTATTTTACTTGCAAACCATTCGATAGGTATGTTCTTGTGTAAATTTAATATTTTTAACTCAAACGTTATATTGGAGTTCTTACGTTTTATACATGATTTTTAATATGAAATTTAAATAGATTGTCGTAATTTGTATATATCTTTGTGCGTTAAAATATGCAAGCGGTAGAAAATTTATTCGATAACAGTGCATAGTTTGTTTCGTTTTTTATACGACTTTATTTGCTGTTGTATTATGTCATGGTGTTGTCTGCGTCTGCGTCTGAATACATTTTGGTTCGCAGACAATAACTTGAGTATAAGTTCATGAATCTCTATGAAATTTTAGCACAAGGTTTTATACCACTAAAGGATGGTTGGAATTGTTTTGGGAGGCTATTGTCCTTGCGGTTTTGTAATTAGGAGCCAAAAAAGGTCAGTTTTACTAGTTCATGGAAAATAAATTGGTTCGCAGACAATAACTTTAGTTTAAGTGTATGGATATGTAAGAAACTTAAGTACAAGGTTCCATTCCACAATAGGAGGATTGGGATTGATTTTGGGGGTTATTGTCTTAGCGGTTTTGTAATTAGGGGTCAGAAAGGGGTTAAAAACAATTATTTGTCTGGTTTTAAGACAATCACTTGAGTATAAGAGATATTTATTTAGTCAATATTTTAGCACAAGGTTCCACACGGCAATAGGTAGGTTGGGATTAATTTTGGGGGTTATTGTCATAGCTGTTTAGGAATTAGGAGCCAAAAAGGGTCTAACAAAAACAGTTTTTTTGTCAGATTCACAGACAATAACTTAAGAATAAGTGAATGGATGAGGGTAGGAATGCCCTTATCGTCAGGCGTCAAACGGGCATTTTCGGCTACCGTTAGCGTCAAATTGGTTAAAACTTTACCGTGATTCGTCAAAATATCCTTATCGTGATTCTTCAAGAGGTCGCAAATAATTACCGTCAAAATCAGTCGATTTTTTTATCGTCTTAAAGAAAGTGTACATTTTATCGTCATGCACCAAAAATTACCGTTAACGTCATTTGGCATGATTTTTTTACCGTTATTCGTCATGAAGGTACCCCATTACGACCCTCATGGATCTCTATTAAATTTTAGCACAAGGTGTCATACCACAATAGGAAGGTTGGGATTTATTTTGGGGGTTATTGTTGTAGCTGTTTAGGAATAAGGGGCCAAAAACAAGCACTTTTCATGTTTCAGGACAATAATTGGTGTATAAGAGTATAGATTTCTATAAAATTTTACCACAAGGTTCCATACTGTAAAAGAAAAGTTTGGAATTATTTTTGGGAGATCATGGCCCATATCGTTTAATAATTAGGGATCGAAAAGGGGCAGAAAACATCTATTTTTATACGACCGCAAAAAAATTTTTGTGGTCGTATATTGGTATGACGTTGGCGTCGTCGTCGTCGTCGTCGTCGTCGTCCGGCGTCGTCCGAAGACACATTGGTTTTCGCACTCTAACTTTAGTTTAAGTGAATGGATCTCTATGAAATTTTACCACAATGTTCAATACCACAAAAGGAAGGTTGGGATTGATTTTGGGGGTTATGGTACCAACAGTAAAGGAATTAGGGGCCAAAAAGGGGCCAAAAATAAGCATTTTTGTAACTTCCAGACATAACTTGTGTGTTAGTGTATGGATCTCTCTGACATTGTACCACAAGGTTCCATATCACAAAAGGAATGCTGGGATTGATTTTGGGGGTAATTGCCTCAAAATTTTAGGAATTAGGGGCCAAAAAAGAGGCAAAAAACAAGCATTTTTCTAGTTTCATGACAATAACTTGTGTGTAAGTGTATGGATCTTTCTGAAATTGTACTACAAGGTTCCATATCACAAAGGGAAAGCTGGAATTGAGTTTGGGGGTAATTGCCGAAACGTTTAGGAATTGGGGGCCAAAAAGGGGCCAAAAATAAGCATTTTTCTAGTTTCCAGACAATAACTTGTGTATAAGTGTATGGATCTCTCTGAAATTGTACTGCAAGGTACCATACCACAAAGGGAAGGCTGGGATTGAGGTTGGGGGTGATGAATCATAAGGGGGTTCAAAAAATTTGGGTGGGGGGTTTTTTTTTTTTCCTTTTTTTTCTTTTTTTCCTTTTTTTTTTTCTTTTAAAATTTTCCATTTTAAGTAGGTTATTTCTGATTAATATTTAAAAGCAAATAATAATAATATGGTAGGAGATTCACACCAAACAGGATGTGTAAATTATTATATAATAAGTATTGTGCAATAGCAAGAAATTTTCAATTGCACAGTATTGCACAATAGCAAGAAATCTTCAATTGCACAGTATTGCGCAATAGCAAGAAATCTTCAATTGCACAGTATTGCGCAATAGCAAGAAATATCCAATAGCACAATATTGCGCAATAGCAAGAAATTGTCAATTGTACAGTATTGCCCAATAGCAAGAAATATTTAATTGCACAGTATTGTGCAAAAGAAGATACTTCGTATAAATTGCTTATTTCTTGACCAATTTCGATTGGGTTTTATTCTTGAATTCTTGGGGTTCTTTAATATGCTGAATCTAACCGTGTATTTAGTTTTTGGATTTTGGGCCCCGTTTTTAAATTGGTCCACATTGATGTCCAAAGGGTCCAAAATTAAACTTTGTTTGATTTCATCAAAAATTGAATTATTGGGGTTCTTTGATATGCCGAATCTAACCGTGTATTTGGATTCTTAATTTTTGGTTCCGTTTTCAAATTGGTCTACATTAAGGTCCAAAGGGTCCAAAATTAAACTTAGTTTGATTTTAACAAAAATTGAATTCTTAGGGTTCTTTGATATGCTGAATCTAAACATGTATGTAGATTTTTGATTATGGGCCCAGTTTTCAAGTTTGTCCAAGTTGGGGTCCAAAATTAAACTTTGTTTGATTTCAACAAAAATTGAATATATGGGGTTCTTTGATATGCTGAATCTAACCATGTATTTAGATTTTTGATTTTTGGGCCCCGTTATCAACTTTGTCCACATTGAGGTCAAAAGGGTCCAAAATTAAACTTTGTTTGATTTCATCAAAAATTGAATTCTTGGGGTTCTTTGATATGCTGAATCTAACCATGTATTTAGATTTTGGATATTGGACCATAATAGGTGAATGTCCAATTTAAAATTTTTAAGTTCTTAGACCACATTCATTCTGTGTCAGAAACCTATGCTGTGTCAAATATTTAATCACAATCCAAATGCAAAGCTGTATCAAGCTTAAATGTTGTGTCCATACTTGCCCCAACTGTTCAGGGTTCGACCTCTGCGGTCGTATCAAGCTGCGCCCTGCGGAGCATTTTATTCTGGTTTGCAGGCAATAACTTGAGTATAAGTGTATAGATCTCTATTCAATTTTAGCACAAGGTTCCATACCACAATAGAAAGGTTGGGGTTTATTTTGGGGGGGTTATTATAGTATCTGTTTAGGAATTAGGGAACAAAAAGGGCCTAACAAAACAATGATTTGTCTGGTTCACAAACAATAACTTGAGTATAACTGTATAGATCTCTTTTAAATGTAAGCACAAGGTTTCATACCACAATAGGAAGGTTGAGATTTATTTTTGGTTTTATTTGTTGTAGCTGTTTAGTAATTAAGGGCCAAAAAGGGGTCAAAAACAAGCATTTTACATGTTTCAGGACACCTGATCTGTGTACTAGAGTATGGATTTCTATGAAATTTTACTACAAGGATCCATACTTCAAAAGAAAAGTTGGGATTGATTTTAGGGGTCATGGTCCAAACCGTTCAATAATAAGGGGCTGAAAAGGGGCAAAAATGTTCTTATTTGTGGACAATAACTTGAGTATAAGTCTATTTATTGCTATCTAATTGTGCCGCAAGGTGTTATGCCATAAAATAAAGTTTGGGATTGATTTTAGGGGTTGACCCTATTGGTTTAGTTAAAAGGGGCTAAAAATAATACTTTGTATAAATTGCTTATTTCTTTAGCAATTTCAATGGGGTTTAATTCAAAAGTCTTGAATTCTTGGGAGTCTTTAATATGCTGAATCTAATTAGGTATTTAGAATTTGGATTTTAGGGTCTGTTTTTGAAATGATCCATATTAAGGTCCAAAGGGTCCAAAATTAAACTTTAACTCTTTAAAAATTAAATTATTGGTGTTTCCATGATATGCTGAATCTAATTGTGTATTTAGATTTCTTAATTTTGAGGCCTGTCTTCAAATTGGTCCACAAAAAGGTCCAAAGAAAAAAGGTTAAAAAAAAATGAATTCTTTGATATGCTGAATATAAGCGTGTATTTAGATTCGGGGCATGGTCGGTCCACATTAAGGTCCAAAGGGTCCAAAATTAAACTTTGTTTGATTTAAAAAAAAAAAGAATGGTTGGGGTTCTTTGATTAGCTGAATCTAAGCGTGTATTTAGATTTTTTATTCGGGGCATGGTCGGTCCACATTAAGGTCCAAAGGGTCCAAAATTAAACTTTGTTTGATTTAAAAAAAAAAAGAATGGTTGGGGTTCTTTGATTAGCTGAATCTAAGCGTGTATTTAGATTTTTGATTTTGGGCATAGTTATCAAGATGGTCCAAATTGGGGTCAAAATTGAACATTGTTTGCTTTCATCAAAATTAAATTGTTTGTGTTATTTGATATGGTCAATCCAACAGTGTTTTTTGATTTTGTGCTTAGTTTTCAAAGTTGGTCCAAATATGGGTCCAAAATTAAACTTTGTTTGATTTCTTCAAAAATTAAATCATTGGTGTTCTTTAATGTGTGCAATCTAACAGTGTTTTAAATTTTTAATTTTGGTCCCGTTTTTTAAACTGGACCCCATAAAGGTCCAAAGTATCCAAAATAAAACTTAGTTTGATTTTAACAAAACATGAAACAATGTGGTTATCTGATATGCTGAATCCAACCATGTATTTAGAATTTGAATATTGGACCATAATTGGTAGATGTCTAATTCTAAAATTATTTAAGAACTTATACCACATTCATTCTGTGTCAGAAACTATGCTATTATTACATATTTACACAGAATCTAAATTCAGAGATGTTATCACACAATTACCAGAAATTTTAAGTTGAGTCATTATAGTTGACCATAAATATAACATCATATCTAATTTTAGAGAACTATTTTTGTGGTTTAATCACTGGTTCATGGAAACTAAATTGATTCACAGACAATAACTTTAGAATAAGTGTATGGATGTGTAAGAAATTTTAGCACAAGTTTCCATACCACAATAGGAGTGTTGGGATATTAAATTGAGTCATAGTTTACAATAGATTTGCTGATTCAGATATATCAATTGTGGTGATAGTTGTGTATTCATTGTGTTCTATTTAAAGATTGTTTAACTTAACATATTTGAATATTTTCTTATGGCTGAATATTCCCTTGGAAATTAAAATAGACCTTTGTCCATCTGTTGAAGTGGAAGGTAAGTGAAGTTTTTAAATACAATTATTCTGTATAAACTAATTTTTCTGAATGCTATATATATTTTTTTCTAATGACGAAGTCGAAGGGGACTTTAGGTTTGCACTCTGTCTGTCTGTCCATCCGTCAGTCCGGCAAAACAGTTTTCCACACTTTTTCCTTCGTGCTTGAAGATATTGATTTGATATTTGGTGTATTGTTTTATCATGACAAGTTACAGATCAAGTTCGAATTTTGTTCTGGTCTGACGATTTTGTGCAGAGTTATGGTCCTTGAACTTAGAAAATTTACTCAAATAATGAGTTTTCCGCATTTTTTTTTTGTCATGCTTGAAGATATTAATTTGATGATTTGTAAATACTTTTATCATGACAAGTTACAGATCAAGTTCGAATTTTGGTCCGGTCTAATGATTTTGTGCAGAGTTACGGTCCTTGGACTTAGAAAATTCACTCAAATAATCAGTTTTCCTCACTTATTTTTCGTCATGCTTAAAGATATTGATTTGATAATTGGTATATAGTTTTATCATTACAAGTTACAGATCTAGTTTGAATTTTGTGCCGATCTGATGATTTTGTGCAGAGTTATGGTCCTTGGACTTGGAAAATTCACTCAAATAATCAATTTTTCATATTTCTTTTCGTCATGCTTGACGATATTGACTTGATATTTTTTATATAGTTTACACCATAACAAGTTATAGATCAGGTTAGCGTTTTGTTCCAGTACAATGAATTTTTAATCCGTAGGGGACTATGTATTGCCAGGCAATACTCACAGAATGCTTGTTTTTGATGAAGCGAACTTCTTTAAAAACTAAGCTTATATTGTCTGTTAATAAACACGTATTTAGATTTTTGATTTTGGGCCAAGTTTTCAAGTTGGTCCAAATCGGCGTCCAAAATTTGTTTGATTTCAACATAAATTGAATATATAGAGGGTTCTTTGAAATGCTGAATCTAAACCTGTATTTAAATTTTGAACTATTGGGCCCCGTTTCCAAGTTGGTCCAAATCAGGGTAAGAAATTAAACTTTCTTTGATTTCAACAAAAAATTCATTTATGGGGTTCTTTGAAATGCTGAATCATGTATTTAGATTTTGGATTTTGGGCTCAGTTATCAAATTGGTCTACATTGAGGTCCAAAGGATCTTAAATCAAACTTTTGTTTGATTTCGTCTAAAATTAAATTCTTGGGCTTCTTTGATATGCTGATTCTAACCATGCTCTTAGATTTTGGATATTGGACCATAATAGGTAAATGTCCAATTTCAAATTTTTCAGTTCTTTGACCACATTCATTTTGTGTCACAAACCTATGCTGTGTCAAATATTCAATCACAATCCAAAATTCATCGTTGTTTTAAGCATAAATGTTGTGTCCATACTTGCCCCAACTGTTCAGGATTCGATCTCTGCGGTCGTATCAAGCTGCGTCCAGCGAGCATTTTATTTGCTTTTTTTTTTCTTTTGTGCCAAAAGATGTGAAACTTGAGCATCAAAAAAGTACGTTCATCTTTCAAAGAGTAGCTTGACTACCCTAAAGCCATTATACATATGTGTAACATTTTCTTACCTTTCTTCTGTGGTGTTGTTATAGAAACCTCTATTTTTAGATTATATGTTGGGTTTTTTTTTTCTAGGAAGCCATCTTACATTTGTGAAAATGTAGAAGGTTCTTTTTTCAGTCGCCTTTCAGTGCTTCGATGTTTATCAACTTCTTGGTCTGTCATTGAAAGTTTTTCTCTTCTTTCCTTGTATCTTTTACTTTTTCCTTGAGCACATACCCTGTATTAATTTTCTTGTCAATTCAATGTATTAAATTTCTTATGATTTTGTTCACACTTATTTCAGGGGGACCGATGAAACGATGTCTTGGTAAGGATGGAATACTCAAGTCTTACAATGACTTTAATGAAGGATGCTGTCGAGGAGTTTATAACAAAACTGTAGGAGCAGATGACTTTGCATGTTGTGAAGGTAGAAGAGAGTGAAATTCTATTTTTATGCCCCCGCCGTAGCGGAGGGGGCATTAAGTTTTACCCTTGTCCGTCCGTACGTCCAAAAGTTGGTTTCCGTTCTCTAACTTTAGTTTGCCTCAACCAAATGTTATGAAACTTATACACAATGCTTATTACCACAAAACACAGATCAAGTTCGAATTTTGATGGCGTCACTTTAATCGTTCTAGAGTTATGCCCGTTTACAAATGGAAAAATTGCTGAATTTTCCGTTTCTGTTCTCTAACTTAAGTTAGCTTCGACCAAATGTTATGAAACTTATACACAATGCTTATTACCACAAAACACAGATCAAGTTTGAATTTTGGTGGTGTCACTTTAACAGTTCTAGAGTTATGCCCCTTTACAAACGGAAAAAATGCTGAATTTTTCGTTTCCGTTCTCTTACTTAAGTTTGCCTCAACCAAATGTTATGATACTCATACACAATACTTATTACCACAAAACTCAGATCAAGTACACATTTGGGTAGTGTCACTTTTACCGTACTTCAGTTGTGTCCCTTTATAACTTTAAATGATATGCAACCGGGGGCATCATCTGTGTCCCATGGACACATTCCCCATTTTTTTTTTAAATCATACATATTATGCTCAGCCGTGACTAAGTTAAAACCCCTAAAATGAGGGGTACGTAGATGGCGTATTGCGAGGCAACATTTGTGCCCCTATCTATGATACCGTCTTTTCCAGTGGAAGTCTATATATCTCACCTTTCATCCCGGTGAACCCACGTTTTTATACGACCGCAAAAAAATTGCGTTCGTATAATTCTATCATGTCGTCGTACAACGTCGTCGTCAGCGTCGTCGTCGTCCGAAGACACATTTGGTTTTCGAACAATAACTTTAGTTTAAGTGAATGGATCTCTATGAAATTTTACCAGAAGGTTCAATACCACAAAAGGAAGGTTTGGATTGATTTTGGGGGTTATGGTACCAACAGGGGCCAAAAACAGGCATTTTTGTAGTTTCCGGACAATAACTTGTGTGTAAGTGTATGGATCTCTATGAAATTGTACCACAAGGTTCCATATCACAAAGGAAAGTCTGGGATTGAGTTTGGGAGTAATTGCACCAAACGTTCAGGAATTAGGGGCAAAAAAGGGGCAAAAAACAAGCATTTTTCTAGTTTCCAGACAATAACTTGTGTTAAAATTATGGATCTCTCTGAAATTGTACATTTTTCCTGAAAAGAAAATAACCTTCAAAATATAAAAAAAATTTAGAGGGGGGGGGGGGATATATTTATTTTGGGGGGGGGGGGGGGGGGTGTGGATTTTTTTTCAAGTTTTTTTTTTGGGGGGGGGGGGGGGGTTCTTACTTTTTTTCTTGAAGATTTTTCAAAAATTTCCAAAATTTGTTTTTTTTTTCCACAAAAATTTTCCATTTTTACAATGATTATTTCTGATTTGTATATAAAAGCAACAAATACTGATATGGCAGGAGATACACACCAAAAAGGGTGTGTAAATTATTATATATAACAGATTAACTAAGTATTGTGCAACAGCACAGTATTGCGCAATAGCATAGTATTGCGCAATAGCACAGTATTGCACAATAGAAGGAAATCTTCAATTGAAAATCAATACAAATCTTTTAACCAATTCCAATGGGATTAAATTAAGTCTTTAATTTTTGAGATTCTAACCTTGTATTACTATTTTGGATTTTGGCCCCATTTTTAAATTGGTCTACATTGAGGTCCAAAGGTTCCAAAATTAAACTTTGTTTGATTTCATCAAAAACTGAATTATTGCGGCTCTATGATATGCTGAATCTTATTGTGCATTTAGATTTTTTATTTTGGGCCCTGTTTTCAAATTAGTCCATATTAAGGTTTGAAGGGGCCAAAATTAAACTTTGTTTGATTTCAACAAAAATTAAATTTCTGGTGTTTTTTTATTTGCTGAATCTAACCATGTTGTTAGATTTTGGATATCAGACCAAACTAGGTAAATTAAATGTCATTTCAAATTTTTAAGATCTTTGACCACATTTATTTTGTGTCAGAAACCTATATTATGTCAAAATTTGATCACAATCCAAATTCAGATAGTATCAAGCTTGAATATTGTGTCCAAACTTGCCCCAAATGTTCAGGGTTCAACCACTGCGGTTGTATCAGGCTGTGCTCGGCGAAGCATTTTATCAAACCTTCCTATTGGATTAATTGTTAATGCGTTCTCGTCTTGAATATGCATGAAATATTTGCTCGTTAAGCAAACAACAACTCATCAGCTTTAGTTTTGTAGTATTGTCTGTTGGTTACATGTTGACTTAATTATATATGTGCATAGCAGGAGACCCTTACCCTGTTCAATCCTTTTAGAGTTCACGCGATTTGCCTATGATTTGGTTTATTACCTTCATTTATTTCTTCTTAATCGATATATGAGTTTTAAACATAAGTAAACTACGGTAACTGTTGAATAAATTTATGCACTTGACTTTTCCCTTTTTCCTTATTGTCTCGGTCGCGCAGCGGGAACCATAGAAAGACCGGACGTCCGTTCGTTTATCCGTCTCTCCGTCCATACATCTGTCCAGTCCTGTTGGCGCGCTTTTACCTACATTTCTTGTCGGATTTAATATATGAAATTAACATCAAAGGTTTATATATGGAATGTCTCGGACGAGTCAGAAAATCAGCACCGATCAACTATTTTACTGTAGTTATGCACCTTCAAAATGTGAATTATACTGTAAAATTGCATTCTTCTTCTTCTCTCTTCTTAAAGTTTCAAGCGATCCTTCATTTATTGAAGATTATTCACAGGGCGTCGACTTTAAAATTTTGATTTATAGTTTACAAGGTACTAGAAAATAGAAACAAAATCAAAAATCAAAATAATATATGTACATTTTAAGCGCTCTAACGCCTTTGTCTCTTGTCAGATTGTTATGAAATTTATGTCAGAGATTTGTAATAGCAATGTCTCGAAAGAGTTCGAAAATCAGCGCCGTTCGTTTTATTTTACAAGACTTTTCAATGCCTCATGGAAATGTTAATTATTTGAAAAATTTACTGTAAGAATTCTTGCTCATTTCTTGTTGGATTTTTAGGTGATCTATTTCAAAAGTTTATATAAGCGATGTCCCGGACCAGTTCGAAAATCGATTTTCGAGAGTTATACCCCTTGGAAATGTAAATTATATGGGAAATTGCACCATAAACGCTCTCACTCCTACATTTCATGCTTGATTGTTATTAAACTTATATCAAAGGTTTATATGAGCAAGGTCTTGGAAACCTGAATGATCTTGAAATGAAAAATTATTTGGAGTTATTGCCATTGGACAAAAAATATATGTATTGCGGCGGAAGGCATTGTAAATGTGTCCTTTGATATTCCTTGAATTTTTAACTTTTTTGTTTTCCTTGTAATGCAGGTATGTTGGCTTTTAGACATCTTTTTGTAGCGTAAAGTACCTGTCTCATTAAGGTATACCACGCTTATCCTTATATTCATGCTAGGATGTTATTCCGAAAGATCGGACTGGAGAAGTTCACCTACCAGTACCTGAAAATTGCCGTTCAATGTGAACTTCTAAATCAAGTAACATCAACAAACCAAAAACCGATAGCTAGATGGTCCTTCGACCTGACAAAATTTTCCATCTAGAAAATACAGCCGTCCGTGCGAGACCAGTACTGGATGTCAAAGACGTTAAATGATCATTTCCAAAGTAGTAAATATACAATAGCGCTGGATTCTGACAAAAACCTTTTCAAGTTGAAGCCTATATTTTCAAGAATACAATGGCATCTCTTCGAAAAGAAACAATTATGATACCATTAATGCTTTCAGTATTTAGGGCTCAAGTAGGATATACGATACTATAGTTCTGCGACTCTTTTCACAAAAAATCTTACGATTAAAATTGATCGTAAGTTATACTGAAATGTGTAGGACTTACGAGTATTTTTACTCATAAGATTTTTTGTGAAAATAGCCACTGGCTTTTATAATAAATTCATCCGCTTGTGAATTATTGGGCAATAAAGACATTTAAAATATATGAGAACAAATTGCAAGCTGACAGGTCGACAGGTCGACAGTTGACGTAAATTAAGTCGACAAAATCAAATTTATTTCATTACACCAGAATAATGCTTAAGTGGTAACAATTAACAAGTAGACAGCTGACAGGTTGCCAGATTGACAGTTGACAAGTAGACAGTCGACAGGTCGACAGTTGACAATTTAATGTCGTCAGTTGACAAAAACTATAAAAAGAAATGATTAAATTAAATTTATACCAAAAGTAATTATTATCTAGTGATTGACAGTCGACAGGTCGCTGTCGACAGTTGAACAATAATATCTATATATGTATGTCGACCTATCAACCTGTCGACCTGTCGACCTATTTACATAAAAATTGAAACTGTCTACCTGTCAACTTGTCGACCTGTCGACCTATATGTACATAAAAATTGAAACTGTCAGCCTGTCGACTTGTGTATATATATAAACCTATTCACCCCTGTATTCTTCCGATGGAACTACAATTCCATATATCCTACTTGACCCAGCAGAAAGGGGTTCTTGAAATTTTTTCATATGAAGCTTCATTTATAATATATCTCCGATATTCTCATTCGCTTTTTTCCTTATGTTTGAAAATTCTAGAAATCAGAGCGATTTTAATTCTGTTGTTAAACAAAGCTGACTGACAAAGAGTAACATAGAAAGATGATTGTGAGATGAGTTGATCGTTCAAGCAAGAGCTAATACGGAAAAATTTAATTTAATGTTAATAAAGTATGACTGTACCAATGTGCTAATATTTGCAGTTGCTAGGAAAGTGAAAACCTACACAAATATTGTGCCAAACGTACATCTCCTGTATTCTTTCTAATAACACCCATAACAATATTATTTATTAGAATTTAGACAATATAAAAATGTGGTTTCCATATTTTAATCAAACAACATGTCAAAAATATTTTTGCAGCGTGTTTTTGAAACTGAAAAAGACTCAATATATTACTATAACCTCTTTCATTTACAGGTAATTATGAAGTCTATAATATACACACACATTTCTGCTGTGGGAATCAAATAAGAAGAATCACTAACGAAAAACAAAGCTACGAATGCTGCGAAAATGAATTAAGAGACAAAAAGATAGGGGTTTGCTGTGAAAATGTTTATCACGAACAAGGTAAGAAATGGCGTATTTTTTTATGTTTGACTAAAGATTAAAAAAAAATATACATTGAAATTAGGTAAAACGAACTATATGTTCATCTACCTTTTAATACGATTTAAAGTTGGCACCGTAAATAGATTTATCTCTCCATTCTCCCCATGTATAGCCCTGATTCCTTATGAAAATAAGATGTTGTATGATGACCAAATGACGAAGACGTTAGTAACTATAGATCACCTTACGGCCTTGACCTGTTTGGCTTTACTTTGATCTTCGTTTTTGTTTTTGGTGTATCAGCTCTCCAACGTTTGTTTTAGATTTGGACTTTTAAATATGTTGCCATCACTGAAGAGATTGAAATGGGCATCTGGTTTTTTTTTCATTTTTGTTTTATTCGTTTCACATTTTTCATGTCGATTCCTTTTAAAGCTGACTATACGATATGTGTTTTGCTCATTGTTGAAGGCCGTACGGTGACCTAATATTGCATATGATTTGGACTCTGTAGAAAAGTTGTCTCATTGGTAATTATAAGACATCTCCTTATTTTATGTTAAGGTGAGGTGAATCAGTGTTTTATTTAGTTTGCATGTATTGTTTTTTCTTCGACCTTTTGTATGTTATGTCATCGTGATTAATTTATACATTTAGGAAGAAAAGGAGAATGCTGCGGACAACTATTGAATAAAAAAAACGAATATCTTTGTTGCAAAGATAAAAGTTCTATTTCTACCAAACTTCATCAGAAGACATCAAATCAAAAATGTTGCGGAATAAATTCGTACAACAGGAAAACTGACACAAAAGAGAATGGCTGTTGTGAAGATGTACCTTATTCCACAACAACATCAGATTGTAGCCATGGTCATGTTGTTCCAAAAGGACATGCATGGTGTAGTGTAGGTGAGAAAATACAAATACATTATTTAGAGAAAGATATAAACATAACTTGATATGATAGAACACAGATAATCAGCACAAAACAATAAATAAATGGAGAATGTGTCCATGGGACACAGATGATGCCACCGCTTGCATGTAACGTTATAAAGGGACATGACTAGAGAACTGTAAAAGGGACGCCACCCAAAATCAAACTTGATCTGTTTTTTTATGGTAATAAACATTGTGTATAAGTTTCATATAATTTGGTTGAGGCAAACTAAAGTTAGAGAACGGAAACGAAAAATTCAGCATATTTTCCATTTATGAAGGGGCATAACTCCAGAACGGTTAAAAGTGATACCACCCAAAATTCGAAGTTGATCTGATTTTAGTGGTAATAAACATTGTGAATAAGTTTCATAACATTTGTTTAAGGAAAACTAAAGTTAGAGATGGACGGAAACCAATTTCGGGAAGAACGTACGGACATACGGACGGACAAGGGTAAACCTTAATGTCCCTTCGTTATGGCGGGGGCATAAACATAGCAAAACCAGAAGTGTGAATCGTGAATTACTGAAAAGGAAACTTTTGGCTTAATTTCAGAAATTTTGCAGTTAACGGAGGGACAAACTTACTAAGCGCTTTACCTTTCGTAATAGTTCCAAAATTATTCTATATGAATATGAAAATAAGATGTTGTATGAGACAACTGTCCACTAGAGACCAAATGACGTAGATGTTAGCAACCATAAGTCACCATACGGCCTTCAACAATGGATAAAAGCAATAACGTATATTATTCAGTCATAAAAGGCCCAGACATGATAACATGTAAAATAATTCAAACGAGAAAATTAACTGATATATACGAAAGCCTATTAGGGTCACAAAAAAAAAAAAATTATCTCGTAATTACGAGATACGGAAAAACTATCGCGTAATTACGAGATAAGAAGTTTTTTATTTCGTAATTACGCGATAATTATCTCTTTCGTAGATTTAAGTACAAAACAATAAACAAAAAAAACCAAATATGATAGACAGCAATTAACGACGACTACTGAATTGCAGGTTATAAACTTATTTCTGATTATAATCTTCTCTTTTCTTTTTTTTTTTAAATATTTGTCTTCTTTAATATTGTTTAATTCGTTGAAGTCTCTTGTTAACAATGATTATAATTCAATTACAAAACAGATGCTCTACTATGTAGATATATTATGTAAGAACGCATCTTTTAACTTATTTTCTTTCTTTTCTATAAGCTAACACACATTACAATCAGAAGAATATGTTGTGTTGCAACACAAAATTAGTCCGAAGACAAATATCAAATGGACAGTGTTGTGGTGACAAAGAAATAGACGGCTATAGGGAGGAGTGTTGTGATAAGATCTCGTATGATGCGCTCAATGAACAATGCTGTGGAAGTAAGTAAAACACTCATACAAATAAAGCCTTAGATTACATAGTTATCTGTTGAATTATTCAGGTACTTACGATCGGGGAGATTATGGTTGGAATTGTATTGACACCTGTCTATTGTTGAACAATGTATGTTGACCTAAAGATGACTTTTTTTTTTGGGGGGGGGGGGTTCTTTTGGTGCCATAACGGGCATAAGGTTGTTATACCCCTGCTACAACAGGTTTGCTTCTGTTTGTCCGTCTGTCCGTCCCATAATATGTTTGTCGTATTTTCTCAAGAACTATAACTCAGTGCTTCCTGAAATTTTGTATCAAGCTTCATGTTAGAATACTGTACTCTGTATTTTCAGATTCCGATGATCGCTCGTACCGAATCTTATATTCGAACACATAATGGCCATGCATAAAATTTACGTCGCATTTTTTCTTTGGAACTGCAAATAAAGACTTTCTAAAATTTGCAGTAGAGCTTCATGTTAGCATGCTTTACCGTGTAATGCGTTTTCACATCCATCACTCATCAGCTAATTGTTTATCCGAACTTTAGTTTTATCGACTTTGTTGCGTTAGATTTAAATCAGTTACATTGAATTAAAAGGACTATTTACTTTCATACGTCCATCATAAACAGTCAGGTGCAACTATTTATCATTTCATATAGTAACTCAACGTTTTCCAACATTTGTAGCAGAAACATTTCTTGGAAACTGTAGTATATGTTATAGGTCATAGCTTTGATTCAGTTTTTATGTATTTGGCTTTCCTAACGTTTGATCATGAATGTACCCGATGAAGTTATTCCAGGAGCATATGTCCTTCGCACTAAAACAAGTACTATACATGTATATTTATGTATTTTAAATATCATTAAATTATTTTTGGCTCCTATAAATTGAAGATAATAGTTAAAGATAAGTCAGTAACGATGGTTTTATCAGAAAGTTAATACAGCTGAAGATGAAATTTCCTTCACAGTTCAGCATGAAGGCGAAAGGCGACAAAACTACAAGTATTAAAATCAACAATGAACATAAACGGGCACATATGTTGATGCATTTCGAAAAAAAGTGGCTCTGATTAATGGTCAAATCCAATATATATGTTTAAATTCAAAACCTTCACCAAAAGTTTAAGAGCTAAAAAATCAAAAATGAAAAAAGATAGCACAAATATTAAAAAAAAATATGATACATTATTTCATTTAGACAAAATCATGGGTAAACAGTATAAATGCTGCGATGGATTGAGGCTCGACACATCTAAGTATGTATGTTGTGTTGAAGAAAAGGAATTCATGGTTGTCAAGATTACTGGTAACGAAAATGAATGTTGTTTAGTAAATGGTAGTATAGAACTATACGATATCTCGAAGCAAATTTGCACTCAAAAAGGCGTTGCTAGTAAACCGAGGTACGTTAAAGTGTGTTTATATAATTACATTGCATGAATGATTCATAAGAAACCATAATTTTGATTGGGATACAACAGTCGCGAGGCATTCAAAAGCGTTGTTTTATTTCCCTATAAAATGCAACATTCATGACTTCACGTTCTTCCTATGACATAAACGCAAAGGGAAACAAACGGAAAGCTTGATTCAACTCGTAATTTTATGGTTACAGCATACAAATGAAACTTTTTGTTTTGAACGCTTCTTTTTTGTAATTTTATATATAAAGGGATGTAAAAGCATTTATCTTGTGCACATTTTTGTACAAATCGCTGAAGAAGAAGCATTCGTTTCCTAAATAATCTATGAAAGTAACTATGTACATTACATGGTGAGCTTATTATACTTTTAAACACATATAACACGACTTCCTGAGGTGTAGCTAAAACTGGATGATTTGACACATACTTAGTCAATATATAGAATTGTGTATTTTTACCAAATCTTAAGCTTTCGTCCCGCAGATATTAATGACATATGATTGTCCTGTATGCTCTTAGTATATTCATTTGAACATCAGCCACGAAATAGTCAAGTCAGTGTTTCAGCAACAATGAGAACCTATTTGTATTAATATGGCTTTTTTTTTATCTCAAGCAAAGATTTTATTTTTATCTTAAATCTGCTGTTCAGTAAGTCTAAATATATCTTGATATTTTGTTAATATCAATCGGAAGGTATTCTCTCTGTTTCTTTTTAAATGTGCAACGATTCAGGTTGCCTCGTAGTCAGTTCCTAAAGAGTTACCTACAACAAGTAATTAAATTTCCCAAAAAATTTACTCAGACACTTGTCTCTGTATATAAATGTTTATAGGTAAAACAATCGGAGACAAGTGCCTGTGATGCTTTACCAAGGCTCAAGTACCTTGTGACTTAATAAAGAAATGAAAGACAAAAATAGTAAATCAAATTCATAAGTCGATGAGAAACCGATAGCACCACGTCAAAAACCTAAAAATAGACGAAAAGACAAAAACCATTGTAAAAAACACTTCATAGAAAATTTAAGTCTGGGCAATGAACTCCTCCAAAGACCTTGCACGATCTACTTACAGAATTTGTGTAGTTATCCGTTAAGACTACTGCGTATTTTCATATCCACATGGTAAATTTATATAAAGTATGGGGCGAAAATGATTATGTCCTATTTTTTCTTCACTCTTTACTATCCCCCTTCAGTAATTGTAATATCGTAAGTCTTGAGCAGCTGGAACATTATTTATTTTCAGTACAATAAGTAAACCAGATATGTGTGGAAGGAATACCTTCAACAGATCTGTTGATTTGTGTTGTCAAGGAAGACTAATTGAGAAAGGAATTGTTTATGAGATGCAATGTTGTGGTGTTCAGCAATATTTTACTACAAATCAAACTTGCCTGGATGGAATAATGCGTAATAACAGGTATAATATTTCATAGAATATCTATTTAGAAATACATTGAATATGCATTGAAACTTGAGGTAATATGGCTCTTATATATATTTGTATAGGTTTTTGATATAAAAAATAGCAAGCAGTTTTATTTCAGTTATTTTATTTGAAAGCGTTAAGTGTTTGATTATAAGATTAACAACAACAATACTTTATTTTACGAGGTCTACACACTTAGTTATATAAATAGTCTTCCCCGAGGCCCTCATCATAGAAAAGCATTAACAAAAAATCGCTAAAATACAAAAAGCAAACATAAGGGAGACAATCAAAGGCAACAAGTGGATGGAATACACCTAATCGCATTTTATTCCATTCCGGATAAGTTCTAAAATTACACAACTTTTTCATCCAGTTGAAGCTATCTGGGGCCCTGTTTAAACAATGCACCATGCATGATACTTTTTAATGAGATCTGTTTAAAACATCGTAAATACTTCAAACAAAATATTTTTTGACTATAATTTGAGTTTCGAAAAAGTGGATCATAACCTATCAAAGTTTCCTATTGATCGCTTTCTAAATTTTTTCCTCCCTCAGCTCGTTACTGATGACCTTTGTTGTTACCCTATTCAAGGCCTGTTGACCCAGACAGGAAGTTGTCTAAATGACTGTTTTTTTCCGGATTGGACTAAATAGCGATAATGTGTATAGACAACACTATGACAGTTATATTTGCATGACGTAGGCCTACGTAGTCGATAATCTCAGAAAAAACTTGTCATACGTTATGAAGTCGGTAAAATTGAATTTTGCAGATATTGAAAAAAAATTACATACTTATATCTTAAGTTTGAATTATTATTTCAGCATCAGTTCTTTCAAATTTAGTTGTAAGTGTGTCATCAAATATTTTGCATGGGATAATTCCTAGTTGCATGTAGAAACATTATCTAGAAAATACTAGTTGCAAATATGGCTATTTCATAGATCAACAATAGAAATGTCTTGCTATGGATACTTTTACATTATTTTCCTGCAATGCATCTATGCAAAATCTTGCCTTTTTATCACTTATTTACGCTAATTTACAACAAAAAAATGGTTGCTGTTTTGTTCGTTTGTAGACATGATTTTTTTATACAGTTTTGAATCATTAGTGACGCGTCTAATTTAACAACTCAAAATTATTGTCGGTGATAACTAATATAAAAGCAATTAATCAGGTCAGTTGTGGTTCCAGGGGGCGTAGAGGGCGTAAGCCCATCCTTTGATCGACAAAAAAAATAATTATATCATGTTTTTTCACGATTTATATGATTTAGCATAAAATCGTCCAAAAATTCGTTTTATGCAAGTACGACCCCCTTTCAAAAATTTTGTATCTGCCCCTGCTTGGCAAAGTAGATTTTTAGTATTATAAATAACACAAAATTTATCCAGACTGAGAGACTAGTACCAGTAAGGAGCAGCTTATAGATATATCTATGACTAGAATTATTGGAATTTACAAGGTGCTGAAATAAGCATGTAGCATGATTTCACATAAAAGAAAAGGTTACTAGCCAATCAGGAATATATTAGTTACAGTTAAGTCTACTTGAAAAATGCAGCATGCTAATACATTTTACAAAAAGTTGATATACCAAGGATTTATATAGTAAGTCTTACTATACAAATCCTTGGATATACCAATATAAGAAGGTATATATATTTTTTTGGTATGGAATGGCCATGAAATTACAGCTCGAATTCAATAATTAAGTTAATTAATTTATTTTATCATTTTCTGTATCGAACTTTCATTTCACTCGCATGCTTAAGAACTTTGAATTTGAATAATATAGAAAACAACAGAATTCCTTATCTCCATTGGATTCTTTTAAGTATTGATTGATGAATTGATTTTTTTTTAAACGTAAAAATATTTCAACCCTCTACTTTAAAAGTAGTTGTTGATTAATTAACAGAGACCTAAGTTCGGAAAAATAAAGACAATTGTTCGTTTTAAATATTGAATAAGGTATTTCCAACACTATAGAAGCAATAACAATGGTACATGAAGAAATTTTGTTTTAAATTATTCGTGAATATTGATAATTGCTTTGATTGTCCAGGTTCCCGATTGAGATTGCTTTAATTGGTCACATTCTTGTAGTGGTTTGTTATAGGGAAAATTTGTAGCTTTTTATTTTTTTTTTTTTTTTAGCAAATATTCTAATAATCCTCCTTCTTGTACATTGGTTTGTAAAACTGTATGGCTTGGAAATGATATGCTGAAAGTTAAACAGCTGAAACAGAAGATGTTTAAAGGTAATTTCACATCAATTGTAACAGTTTGAAAAATATTGAAAGAAATCATAGTTACTTATAGTTAAGGATCGGGGGATTACATTTGACAAGAAACATAAAAAAAAAAGAGAAAGAGTAGAAGCATTTACAACATAATGAGCTTTACATTTGCACGTTGTCGAGATGAATCATCACTTTGTATTATAGTTCTGCAGAGATGTACCAAGCCAAGATTAAAATATAAATCCTGAAATTATTTATAGATTATGCAAGTTATTGACATGGAAATTATACAACACGATTCATGGTCTTTACAAGGGAAACGAAAGATACCAAAAGGATATTCAAACTCATATGTCGAAAACGGAACTGACAATGACATAGCAAAAACAAAAAAACGACGATAACACAAACAACTGTATAGAAAACACAACATAGAAAACTAAAGACTGAGCAACACGAACAAAACCTAAAACACGGGGTGATCTCAAATGCTCCAGAAGGGAAAACAGATCCTGCTCCACATGTTTAACCCGTCGTGTTGATCATGTAAGTACAAAGCCGGTGTTAAGAAGTCTAAATCGGTTGGTAAAATACTAAGAAAAGAGGAGGGGATTGTGGCTACGACAATTGGAACATATCCGTCGTCATCTGTGAAACAGATATTCCATAACGGACAACCAACTCGTGATGGCGTCATTAAAGTTTTCGAAGGGACGATTTAAACTTCACCACTTGGAACTCTTGCTTGAATTGTTTCTTGTAAGCAGCAACCCTCTATCATGGAAATAATGATAGGAAAGGCAAGCTCTAGAATATTGTATCAACTGGGAGATGTATACTCCCGACTGCTCAGAAATTTATCAACAATTTGCAAAGAGAAATGCAGTGTCCAAGCATTAGAACATATTTACTGAGGAGGACAATGAAAACTCATAAGTAAAACAAGAACAAAAACAATATTATGACAAAAAGAAAAGCTGTAAAGACAAACAACAGCCCCCAAAATACTATAAAGACAACTAAATATTCCGCAACACGAACCCAACCAAATCAGGGCTGAACTCGAGCTCTGGAGGAGTAATCAGAACCTGTTCCATCTAAGATACAATAGTGCTCATGTACGGAAATCAATCAATGTACAACTACTCTCTGGAATAAATCTTATGGAAAAATTGTCTTTAAAATAATGAATATCTTAACAACTTTTGACAAATTATGTTTAATAGTGTACCTTCTGCATATGGCTTTCAATAGATTTTCCTAAAAGCTTTCCGTTTATTTCAGAATACGCCCTTCGGAAAATCAAAACTTCCCTACAAGGGAATGCAAGTTGGAAAATAAAATATCGAAGAAGAAAAAAAAATAGAAACAGAAGAAGAATGAGATCCACACATAATAATGTAAATATGCTTAGGGAAAAGTTAACAAGAAAGTTGAATCACTTTAAACAGAGAAGGAATTCAAATAATATTATAATGTTTCCTTGCGATTGTAAACATTTTTATGGAAATAAGGTAAACAATGTTATGTTACTAACAAAAGACAATTTTCCTTTTAGAGAAATAAGCGGTGAATATTATCTTTATAGAAAAAAAGGAAAAAACTGGAGTAATTAGTAATGCAAGTGTAAAAAGAAATTAAAAAAAGTGACATATTTTTTGGAAGAACCATTTCTAATAGAACTATGATGACCGCTTTATTTTGTTCTCTATTTTTTAATTCATTGTTTCATTGGTTCCTTTGCAAACATTCTTAATTTTATTGTAAAAATTGAACATAAATTTCTTCTCTATTCCGATGTATATGGTTTAATGAGAATAAAGATATATATATATATATATAAGTAAGGAGCCTTTTGTAGTTGTGCTGATCTATAACTGTATGCTGTGATTTGAAAAAAAAACTCATCATAGATACCAGGATTGAAATTTAGTACGACAGAAGCGCGTTTCGTCTTCAAGAGACTCACCGGTGACGATCGAATCAAATAAGTTACAAAGGCCAAATAAAGTGCAAAGTTGAAGAGCATTGCTAAATTACTAAAGATTTTGTCAAGTACATCTAAGGTAATTTATTCCTGAAATCATTTAACAGAATGTTGTTATATGATATATTTCTTCTCTTTAATTATTAAATGTTTTACCTTGATTTACTTTGGTTACATGTAATTATTTAAATGTTGTAACCACATAATTACATGCTTGCACAACTTTTCTGGGAGCTCCAACATGATTTTTTTTTAATATTTCACCTATGAAATCTGAAATATTTGAATAGGCAGAATAAACCAGTCAGAAGATACCATAAAATCATAAATTGATTTAGCTGTTTTAATGGGCTATGATTTCCCGTTTTCCTGCCGAAGGACTTTATTTCTCTCTGGCTTTTTCCGCCAATAAAAAAGTGGCATATTCGATTTAGCCAACAATGCTGAAAGTGGCGTTAAACACTTACAATCCATCAATCATTTTAACAGTTGAAGTTTATTTTTTAAATTTTATCATATGAACGTTATTTTAATAAAAAAAACAAATAAATTCTCTCCTTTTGTATTCATTTTAAACCTCTTTTTGATCTTCTTAATGTAGATTTAAAATCCTGCACTGTCAATCCCGTGCCTGGATAAATCCATTTATGACCTTCCAAAATAGAAGAAAGCAAACACAAACTCAATTGCATTTCAACAAGTTAGATTTTTTATACCGAACGATTTTGGGATAGAGATATAGTAGCAAGTGCTGATGTGCACTGCAATGTATTACTGCTTTGGACCAAACAATTATAATTTATTCTAATTTTCTGTCATGTCTTTATGCAATCGAAGATGCCAAAATAATGAATTCATAAATATTGAAAATTCTTGATGTTATTTATCAATTTGGAAATTCTTAAAAAAAAATATGTTTCTGTGGGGGGTACCAAGTCATCTTTATCACCAGCCCAGTAGTCAGCACTTCTGTGCTAACATGAATTATCATTGATATGGTCATATTTTTAAATTAACTGTTTACAAAACTTTTGAATTTTTTAAATACTAAGGCTTTTCTACCTCAGGAATAGATTTCCTTAGCTGTATTTGGCAAAACTTTTAGGAATTTTGGTCCTCAATGCTCTTCAACTTCGTACTTTATTTGGTCTTTTTAACTTTTTTGGATTCGAGCGTCACTGATGAGTCTTTTGTAGACGAAACGCGCGTCTGGCGTAAGTACAAAATTTAATCCTGGTATCTATGATGAGTTTATTTACATTCCTGGAAACCCAGTTATATACCAATTAGCCAAACATGTTTTATTAAAGGGAAGAAAATTTTGAATACAATATTACATACTGTGACCTAATACCTTATATAAGGAATATATTTCAAACGAGGGACGCCATTAAATGACCTAATTTAAACTAAAAAAAATTGTAGGTATAGGGCCAAATCCTAGGAATCTATTTCGCACTAGGATCATTTTAAAACTTGTTGGAATCTTTAATACAAATTTTAGTACATTGGATTGATATTATATTATATATGTTGTGTGCAAGTTATCATTTTGTACACATTATAATTTGTACAAAAAAATTGTACAAATTATAATTTGTATTTTGTCTTTGTACAAATTGTAATTTGTACGAAAAGTGCCTGTACAAATTACAATTTGTACAAAATTTGACGAAAATTCACTTACAACTTGTACAATTATTTATAATAAGGATTTTGGTGAAAAAAGCATAGATACACTTTATAGAATTGTTATTAAATGGCCATACAGTAAACCTTATTTATAAAATACAAAAATAGTTCTTTAACAGTCGTTTGAGGCTGAGCAGGTTAGTGAATTGTGGCATCGTGAATTGCATCTTTTGACTTTCACATTTGACTCTTCGTGAACACTTTGCAACGGCTAATTACTTTGGGGTCAATTGCTTTAAAAAGTTGCCAAAGCTATATATCACAGGTGTTTATGTACACTCTTTTAGTCATTTACTCATATTATGTTATAGTGTAAACATGGCCGACATTGTTGATCAGTAGAAAATGGTCTTAACCTAGCAGAGAATAATACATAAAAGAACAATCATGTGTACACCAAGGACAAGCATAATGGGCTAACTTGACACTGATCATTCTTGCTAGGAATCGTGCGCTGTGTGGCCAATAGATCCAAGACGAATATCTTACCAAGAAAACGAGACAGTTATAATCAGAACTTGTCATTTGGGGTTAATGTCATTATAAATATTCCTCAGTATGATCGTGCCCCAACTGATCCTCGAAATATCTGGGGCGCAATTGTTGAATCTGGAGATTTTGGTACCAAATTGGAAAACTGTAAGAATTAAAACAGGATATCTATTTGTCTAAAAGTAAAATTGAAACTGTGAAAGACACGTGTTCATTCACAGCAATGGTTCCTGATCTTCAACTTTCGCTACGTGAAGCACTTAAAAAGCCTTTCAAACAGATTGTCAGGGGTTTCTTTCTTGAAAATGCAAAGGATGGTCCAGGACTTCTAAATGTAAATGTAAAAGTAAAAAGATGTTGTGCAATTCCCGATGTCATAATTAATGCACCTGCTGAACCGAATGATAAATAACTAAACTTTTGTATTTTGTAAATAAGGTGTACTGTGTGGTCATTTGATAGCAATTATATAGTGTGTATCAATGCTTTTTTTCACCAAAATTCACATTATAGATTATTGTACAAGTTATAAGTGAATTTAAGTCAAATTTTGTACAAATTGTAATTTGTACAGGCACTTTTTGTACAAATTACAATTTGTACAAAGTCAAAATACAAATTATAATTTGTACATTTTATTTGTACAAATTATAATTTGTACAAAATGGTAACTTGTACACACCATATATATACATATTCTAGAATAAGTTTCATTTAAATCAGAATAGATTGATATGATTCATTTAACATCATCATACTCATTGATTTTTTTTTAGACTATGATAATTGATTTATTGGTCTAAAGCTGTTACAATTACCTTATTGCTACAGCTTTCACAAACAACGTACCCTGGTATATTGATATCTTTAAGAACAGGGTGTCTTAAAGATAATTTTCTCTTTATAATTGTTAGTTAATTACAAATACAAATATACTATAATATAAACATATATAATTGCAAATCATTTAAATTTGTGTTTACGTATTTTTTGTTCCGGATTTGACCTTTACTTTTCCATCCTTATACAATCTACCTGACACATATTTTAGGGAAAACGGTACTATTTATTCTGCCATAGGCGACAATACTAACATTTTCTAAATTTACCACTTTTTATAATAAAAACCTGGACAAAACAGTTATTTGTGGTGTTAGTACTTTATTATTCTGTTTTAAAAATTAAAGCCAAATAGTATCATGACCAACTTCCAACGGAGCTTGTTTATGTTATCCATGCCCACCGTCATTTTACACCAAATTTATGAAATTTTGGAAGTCTTTTCGAATGATTCTCTAGAAAATATTTCAATGGGTTTCAAAATTTATATTATAAATATACACACTGCAGTTATTCATAGATAAAAAAAAAATATATTGTACCCTTACATCCAATCACAGCGCTCCTAAGTTGACTTCCTTCACCTGCCTTGGGTACACAAAAGGCCAACCTAATGCTGGGAAAATGTAATAGTACTATTTTCCCTATACTGTGGCATAAAGATATAAAGAATTCTTATTACACCATTAATGCAATACTGGGTTATTGTGAAAACCTTGGCTATAATAAATTCTTGTATGTCCCCATCACTTAAAGAAACATGGATCATTTTATGTCCCCACCCCTACATGCTGGTTTACCTCTTTCTGTACTTCTTCCAGATAAGGCTTAATAAACTACCTGTATCCAATCATATCTTATCTTATTTAAAAAAAATAATAAACAGTACTATTTAAACAGATAAAAATGACAGTTCCATTCAATTTGTATTCAATTTATCCAAAACTTACAACATAACCACAAATTCAAGATTTTTCATACTAATCTCCATTCCATGCTTTAGTATATGCCATATTGTGTTTCAAAATTTCAGAACTTGCTATAAAATCCTTTATTCTGTCTTGAGATGACAAAAACAAAGATATTACACACTTAAAACATTGAATATGCAAAATACTCAGCTGTAAAGTTGCCTTTGTTGGCTGTATTAATCTATGAAAAAGCTGAATTATGTCCCTTGGGAGTATTCATTTCCAACAAAAGTCCTTTCAAGCAGTAGAAAATGAAAAATTATATATGCTTGATATAATAAAAGATAGAAACTACAAAATGAAGCACTATTGAAATTTTTGCCGCATGAATTGCCAAGAATGTGAACAATTCTTTGCACAGGAGAGTATAAATTCTATATAAATTAAGCCTCAATTGGGCCTCTTTTTTTCTTAGATGGACAATTTTAACACTGAAAATGCTTCTATTAAGACCAAATATTGCCTAACTCCATAAACAGTACAAACTTAACCAGACAATTTCCCATTTTAATAGATTATGTCTTGAGAAATACCCAAGTGATACATTTAGGGAATTACGCAGCAAAAAAGGCAAATATTTCAGTTAAAAATATTTGTCGCGACTTGAATTCTGGTGTTTCCAATTGAATTAATCATTGCGAAAGGTGAAAACAAATACAAAAGAACTAGAGTTTGGTGCATTTTATACAATATAGTTAATATTGAAATCCTAGAATAAATTTTTATATCAGTACCCATCAATTTTACTTATTATGATGACTCAGCACTTTTCTCAACACAGTATTGGTCTCAGTGAAAAATTTCTATTCTTGGTGATAAAAATCAAATGTACTAATCAAAAGCTTCAAAATAGTGTAATATAACTGAAGTCTGATTGATTTTGATTTCCCTTGCTATCTTCAGTATAGGGAAAACGGTACTATTTATTCTGCCATAGGCGACAATACTAACATTTTCTAAATTTACCACTTTTTATAATAAAAACCTGGACAAAACAGTTATTTGTGGTGTTAGTACTTTATTATTCTGTTTTAAAAATTAAAGCCAAATAGTATCATGACCAACTTCCAACGGAGCTTGTTTATGTTATCCATGCCCACCGTCATTTTACACCAAATTTATGAAATTTTGGAAGTCTTTTCGAATGATTCTCTAGAAAATATTTCAATGGGTTTCAAAATTTATATTATAAATATACACACTGCAGTTATTCATAGATAAAAAAAAAATATATTGTACCCTTACATCCAATCACAGCGCTCCTAAGTTGACTTCCTTCACCTGCCTTGGGTACACAAAAGGCCAACCTAATGCTGGGAAAATGTAATAGTACTATTTTCCCTATACTGTGGCATAAAGATATAAAGAATTCTTATTACACCATTAATGCAATACTGGGTTATTGTGAAAACCTTGGCTATAATAAATTCTTGTATGTCCCCATCACTTAAAGAAACATGGATCATTTTATGTCCCCACCCCTACATGCTGGTTTACCTCTTTCTGTACTTCTTCCAGATAAGGCTTAATAAACTACCTGTATCCAATCATATCTTATCTTATTTAAAAAAAATAATAAACAGTACTATTTAAACAGATAAAAATGACAGTTCCATTCAATTTGTATTCAATTTATCCAAAACTTACAACATAACCACAAATTCAAGATTTTTCATACTAATCTCCATTCCATGCTTTAGTATATGCCATATTGTGTTTCAAAATTTCAGAACTTGCTATAAAATCCTTTATTCTGT